GGCTGACATGGACTATATGAATTATTTCTGGAGTGCTATGCATTAGGTGTAGCATGATATCTTATGATCAAACACACAAAAAACTTGAAGTATAACTAAGTAGTCAGTCATCAGAAGGATAGCTTGGGGTAAGAGGTGAACCTGGGCTACAAAAGGAGTTCAAGGCCAGCCTGGACTACATAGCTAGCTTCCACCTCGAAGAAATCAAACCAAAGAGCTCCATCCAACACCATCCACAAAGAAAAAAACACGAATAGTCTAAAGAAAGTTCAGTTGTCACCATTTAGTTGCCAAACATACATAAAAAATGTTTTGATTTGAAAACCTTTGTGAATTTCAAAATTGCACATTAAGAATTATGAACCTGTAATTTTCAATGCATACTATTAGACAGAACAAGCTAGACAGATCAAAAAGTCATTTTTTTTTCATCTCTAGCCTCATTTTCAAGAGTCTTGAGTCTGGCTGCTTAAGATCCTTATGTCTTTTCCATTTTAGTTAGAGTAGGTTGTCAAGGACTTATTTCATGTCTGAGTCAAATGTAATTGAAAGTACTTTGTATTTACTTTGATCAAGGTCATTATGTTGTTTCACAGAGTCCAATCATGCATCATCCCACCTCAAAGTAGAGACCCAGACAAAATTAGAAACTTCTCTGTAAAAGAAGGTGCCCTTGAAGCCTCTAGAATATGCTATTTTTTACCATTTTCATAGCCTGACCTAGGATCATGGCATTTCGGCAGATTTTGATTATATTTTCTTATTAAACTTTAGGTGAAAGACGGCTAAATATAGCTTTAGAATGTTATTTGTATGTGTGTGTGTGTGTGTGTGTGTGTGTATATTTGTGGGCACATGTGTGTCTGGGACTCATGCACAGTGTCTGAAGGCCAGAGGTTAATTTTGAATGTCACTTAGGAGCCACTTGCCTTGTTTTGTTGGGGACAGGGTCTCAGATTATCCTGGAGCTAGCTCCCTTATCGGGCTTAGCTGGCTGGCCAGAAAGCCCCAGGCATCTGCCTGTCTCTACTTCTTAATTAACTGGCCACCATGCCTGGCTTTTCAAATGGCTTCTGGGGACTGAACTTGGGTATCACACTTGTGTGGCAAGTGCTTTGCTGACTGAGCCACCTCCCCAGTCCAGAACTTCATTCTTCATAAATTTATTGAACTTTCCTGCAGGGTTGTGACAAAAGACACTGAAATCTATCTGCAATCTATTAATTTTCTCTGGTTCCCTGGGCTACCTGGACTCAATTGAAAGGTCACCACCTAGGGTTACTCAGCGTATTGTTCAGTTGGGACTCCAGGCACGCAGTGCCCAGTTGCCTTGCCCATGTAGCCAACAGCTGAGGTTGGCTGCTGTTGGCAGTGGGCTCAGGTGAGGTTGGCTATCTAGTGTGCTCTCTGTATGCTGCCTGGGTTTCTTCCCCAACAGTATTTGAATTCTGACAGACGTGTACAAAGGATTTCAGAGACTCAAAAACTTTGAGGCTTCTTCTGTTCTTACCTTAGAGATCACTCTGCCTCATTCCCACCATACTGAGTCACAGGGCCATCGCAGATATAAAAGGAGAGCAGCTAACTGTGTGAATATTGGTAGGCATGGTTCACTGGGAAATTTCCTAGAAAAACTAATTACCATACAACATACACAGTGTTAAAAAGTTAATAACAATAATGTATATGAAGGCTAATTTTTTATCACTAAAATGGAGGAAAAAATGCCTGGAAGTCATATTTTAATTTTTCAATATCTTATATATGTGTGCATCTTAATATTTAAATTTTATCTGTTTGATGAAACTTAAAAAATAATGGGGCCGGTGAGATGACTCTACAGGTTAGGGTGCTTGCTGTCACTCCTGATGACCTGGGTTCAATCCATGGGACCTACCCAGGAGAGGGAGACAACTGACTCCTGAAAGTTGTCCTCCAAGTGCCACACTGGTGCTGTAGCACATGCTCAGATCCTGTTCCAGGATGGACAAATACATGTCCTAGAAATAATGATATGGCATCTGGGAGGTGACTCGGGGGCAGCCGAAGTATGGCAGACAGAAGCGCAGCGGATGGAAAGTCCTCACAGAGCTACGAAGACAAAGTGGCACATCTGAAAAGTGATCCAGCCTCATTATAGATTCCTGGCAGAGTGTGATAACTGTCTTACTATGTAATCAGGAACAGGATGGCTATGAGCAAGGAGCAGAGGAGATAGTGAGTGGCAACTTCTGTAGTTGAAAATGAGTTGTTTCTAAACTTTGTGTTTTGAGTCACGAGATCTGTTTGAGCATGTGAACAAATGAGAAGCTTTTTACATACAAAGACTTGGGCATTGATGCACCTTTGTGTCCTCGCCTTCAGCGGTCTCTCCTTACTCTTTCTCCCCTCTTCATTCTTTCTATATTTATTCAGAGGACGCTCACTCTGGCCAGAGAGCAAACTGGACCAAAGAACAGAACAGGATGGAAGACAGACAAGTTCCTCAATCTCATGGCATGTGTGTTCTTAACATAGGGGCACTTCCCCAGTTCCCTAGAGCAGCAATAAGTAAGACCACCCCAGATTGTTGTAAAAAAAGTTTGCAACATCGTATGTGCAGTTTATTATTCATAATCCATCCATGTGATCCTCCTTCTGGCTCTGCCATCAATACTTTCTCTTTTAAACTAAAGGCCCTTTTTTTAAGGAAAAAAATAAAAGCCATGTGGATGTGTCTTATTTCATTGACATTTGGTCCATGGATACTCACTGATACTCTTTCTTTTTATTTTCTTTTTTTTTATCATGATGAATCATATACAGTGATATTGGAACTGACTTTTTGAGTCAACAGAGCATTCCTAGGGAATTTCAGAAATGACTGTAGGGGGTAAGACGAATCGTGTGAGGCTTTCTAGAGTCTCCACTGCACAGCCTGCTTAGCTTCTCCCCAAATCGAAATGGACTACATAGTCAGAGATCCACACTGCAGAGTGTCAGTCTACAGGAGACGCCAGGAACAGTGCCCCTTGTTCTGTATTTTTGAAGATGAAAGCTAAGGATGGATAGTTTACTTTTGAAAATTTCCCCATGTTCTATATTTTCATGTTCTTACCACAAATTATACTCTTGATCCTACTTATTATGGTATCTTGTGGTAACTTAAACATGTACTTTTACCTTTTGCAATATAAGTATTGTCAGGAGTATAACATAACTTCCAAAACCGGGATGCAAATGTCACTCTTCCTCCGTTATGTCACTCTTCCTCTGTTATGTCACTCTTCCTCTGTTATGTGATCGGAAATGTTTGATGTTTGTGGAATATTGTCATTGGAGATATAAACTGTTTATCCCTCTTTTCATTTTCTTTGGTATTTTGACAGTAAACTTTTATCCTGCCCCCCCCCCCAGTTGAAGGGCATCTTGGTATGTATCATGTTAGCAAGAATAGAATCATGTGGTGAATTTAATCTAAATATGCATTTTTTAAAGGACAGGGGTTGTTAAACTACTACCCTAAGATTCCAGCGTTCCTATTTGTTTAAGTTTTCAGTGAAATTCAGCCACCCTCATTCTTGAATGTATTTCTGAATATTCATAATAGTACAGACTGCTAAGTCTGCAGCTGGGCCAATAGTGCTGATAATTAAGTCCAGAGTACAGTATTAGACTAATATAAACGTCACACCCACACAAGTCTGAAACTTCTTCAGTTTGTGAAGTAAGCTTGTGTCCAGTATTGTCCCTCCAACTTATTGAAGTTTTTATATTTGGGGTGACATTTCTGGATGAATTCTCTTGAGCCTCTGTGGGGTTCCCAAGATATCTTAGAGGGGTGGTAGCGCAAACATTGAAATTTAATTCAGTAAGCATCTTTTAGAGGACTTCAGCAACCTTCAGGATACAAGCATATGTGCATGTGTTGTTCACAAAGACTTGGAAGCAGGAGGTATTTTCCCAAATGGAGAATGCGTTGGTGACTTGCTAATTTGGGAATTCTATTTCTTATAGAGAAATATTTGAGTGTTGAAAAAATTCCCACATCCATCCAACTTTTGACTTGATTTTCATCTAATCAATTGTGCCATTTTGTACTTACCAGAATAAACAAAACAACAATAATAAAAAGACCCAAAAGTAGTGTTTTCAAACGTGGTTTAGATGAAGACCTGAATGAAAGGATACATTTTTAATATGTTAATGTCTTTAAACTGGGAATGCAGCTCAGTGTGTATGTGTGTGTGCAGGCCCTGGAAGGCTCCACACTCTGTAAAGTGGTTAATCAGCATGAGAGTTGGAAGTGGCCTAAGGGGCCATCTAAGACCCAACTAGTCACAGGTGTTAAAGTCTGCACGCTGAGGAAGGGCCAGGACTCTGTCTCCCCTTCTGTCCCTCATTGAACACAACCTGCAGTCATGAGTGTCAGGCTTCACCAGCCTGGGAAAGAGAGAGTAACAACAGTGCACAGTTGCCAGCTTTAGTCATTCTAGTTCTGGAAACAAGGACAGAAGCCTTTTAGTTATTCGCACACCCAAACCTTTGCAGCTTCTATTGAATAAATCATTTAACTGCCAGCAAATTATAGTGTTGGGAAGTTTACATCATCCCTTAATGGAAGACCGTGGAGATTAAAACTCTCGACACAAAAAAAGGCTGACCTAAAGAAAGATGGGCCAGAGATGAACACTGAACACATTTTTTTTTTTTTAGGCAGCAAAAGGCTCTCGCACGCGAGAGCCTACTTAAAGTCCTGCTGATCTGAACACTTGCCATAAATGCTTGGTAATTGACTGTGTGACCTTGTGTCAGTAACAGCGCCCGTCTATTGACACAATCATTGTGCACACACAAGCATTTGCTTGTGCAGGGAACAACTCCATGAAGCAGGTACGGTATCACGGATGAAGATACCGAGTCCAAGAGAAATACAAGTGCAGTAAGCAAGGTCTCAAGGCCCGCAAGCAGATGGGCCCCAGCTGCAAAAGGCTCCCAGCCCTGTCGCCCGCCCCCAGGTGTCAGACGCCGCATTGGTCCAAGCCCATGCGTAGTTCTGGAGCAATCTCTGGGCGCTGCCGGGTCCGCGGAGCCCCTCTTCCTGCAGAGGGGCTTGGATAGTCGGCCTCCTCCTGCAGCCCAACGGGAGCGCGCCCGACGGGAGCGCGGGAGCAGCGCACGTGCCGCCGGGAAGGCAGGGGCTGCCCGCCCGCGCCAAGATGGCGGCGGCCGCGGCCGCAGCGGCGACTGTTGGCGGCCGGTGAGGCGGGCGGGGCCGGCGGCGCGGAGGCGGGGTCCCGGGCGAGCCGCCCTGGGGAAGGCGGGGGCCGTTTCCATAGCGGCGGCGGCAGGAGGTGTCGCGCCGGGGAACTTCCTGGTTCCCGGGCTCGGCTTTGCCCGGAGCCTCCTGGAAGGGAAACAATGGGGCGGAGGGCACTGCGGTAGCCGCCGCCACCGCCGCCGCCGCCGCCGCCGCGCCGGACCCTCTCGGCCTCCCGCGACTGGCCGCTGCCGCCGCCGCCGGGACCGTTTGGAGGTAACTTCCCTTTCTCTTCAGCCGCTGGAGGAGGGGGCTGGCGGGGTCTAAAAGGCGAGGGGGCCGGGACGGAATTGGTCCTGGGCAGCCGGCCGTCGCCATACCCGGCCCCGGGCAGAGGGCACGCTGCGGCGGCGCGGCCTGGACGGAGCCGGCTCCGGGAGAACCCGCGCGCCGTGTTGCGCGCTCGTGGCGGGGGGTCGTCTGCGGTGTGATTGACAGGCGGGCGGGCGCGCGCGCGGGCCGGGGACGGGAGGGCCCAGCGCTGCCTGCAGACCCCCGGGGAGGCGGACCGCTGTGACCGCCTTCCTCCCCCACCCCGCGTGCAAGTTTCGATCCCCAGGGAGACGTGTCTCTCGCAAGTTTCACTTGCGTCCTGCGGGAGCGCGAGTGGGCAGGACCCAGGCAAACTTCGTTCGCTGAAAAGATTGCCTGGATGCCGCAAGAACTTTGGAGCAGCCCGGGGGAGGATGGGCGGTGAGGGAGGGAGCTGGAAAGCCTGGAAATCCGTGCAAAGTTTTGCTGGAGAGTTTGGAGCTCCCGGAGCGCGATGTTTCTGTGGGAGATGAGCACCGTAGCTCGCAGGTGTTTTAATGCCAGCGAATGAGAGAAGTCTTACTCCATGGTGGGACGTTCATAAATGTTGAGCATCGGGATCTCTGGGCTCTATCTAACCACACTCCGTTTAATTGACAAATACTTTGAATTTTATTTTTAAAATGAGCGTACAAGGTATTAGCTAACGTCACGGCATTTTCGAGTAAAGCTGCGTTAGTAGATTCTAATCACTCATTTCCCCTACACCAGATGCTTTTTAAAATTTATTTAAATAAGACTAATGTGCGTTGTGCCTTATGGATTGGAAAGGCTCGGTGAATTGGGGCAATACTGCGACACGAATGGAAGAAGTTGTAGAGACACTGTTCTAAGTATTCTTGCTGGAATAATTTAGTTGTGGATCTCCCTCCCTCCCTCCCTCCCTCCCTCCCTCCCTCCCTCCGGCCCTCCCTCCCTCCGTCCCTCCGTCCCTCCCTCTCTTCCCTTTCTTCCTATATAATTAGATCTATGAGACAGTTGTTTCATAGCTCAGAAAAGTTTTGCAGTACGGTTGAGATGACCCGTGCCCAATTCCCTCCCATACTGAATCTCTGGAGGTTTTGTCGGTGGTGGTGGTGGTGGTGTTGAGAACTAGGGCAGAGTTTTAATTTTTTTTCCTTTTCTTTAAGTCACCTTAATAATCAGTAAACTGGCATAGGATGTACAGTGTCTCATTACTTTTCTCACCAAGACCCCACAATTAACAAAATATTAACTAGTTTGTCATAATTTTATAGGAGAAATTGTAAGCGTGCTGTCTTGTTCACCCCTTAGTTTGTACTCTCCCCAGGCCATTAAACTGTAAGTCACAATGGAAAAGGAAATTATACTAATAACAGTGTAAATGAACTTGTGAGGGAAACAGAGCCCTGATTGCAAGGACAGGCGTCCCCAGTTGAAGAATCGGGGCACTCTCACAAAGGTATTCAAGAAGCAGCCTTTGTCTAACTTTCAGAGTTTGGGTCCTGAGCCTTAGTGCTGCTTGCCACTCACTTTTTAACCAGGCTACAACTCTGGGTTGTGCTTGGTTCTGGTGAGTGTAATCCATCAGCACCCTTTCACCTTAAAATATATATTTTTAAGAGTTATTGTTTTATGTGAGTGTTGCCTGCATTTATGCGTATGCACCATATGTGTGTGTGCCTGTTGCTCTCGGAGGTCAGAAGAGGATGTCAGATCTCCTGGAACTGGAGTTCTGGATGGTTGTGGGTATCACGTAAGTCAAACCTGAATCCTCTGGAATAGCAGCAGGTATTCCTAACCACTGAGCCATCTCTCCAGCCCTCCATTACTCCCTCTCATGGTACTTTGTTGTGGCAGGTTACCCTCACTGAGGACAGCTGGTCTGGTTAAACAGGTACCTAAGGAGAAGTGTCGGACTTGGTGTTGGGTGTATGTTGACTGATCCTCTCCATGCGTTATGTAGGAACCAGCAGATCCAGTCTGGGGCTCAGGGCCCAGCAGTTTGCACTGGCCTAGCTTTACTATCATGGTGAATTATTGTTACACTTTGTAGCCAGGAAAGATGTGTGAAACAAGCCAATGAGCTCAACCTTTAGGCAAATGATTTTGGTTGAGAAATTGAGGAATTTTAAGGAAGTCAAAAAATCTAGAATACTAAAACTTTGAGAGTTGCTACTTCAGGTAGAGAGGAGAAGACATTTTCTGGCTCTGAGTTTAATTCCACTTTAACCATCCTTGTTTTGTAACCAGTGCAATTCAGACTAATTACCACAGACTTATAGTTTGCCCCTTCAGTGTAATTTGTGAGAAGCATTTTCCATTTACAGATGTGATCTAATTATATATTAGAGAACCATTTTCCCCTCTAAAAGGTTTCTACCATTTTTTGCAGTTAACCTAAGAATCATAATGTGAAGAGTCTGACCTGTAGCATACTTCCACATAGCATACAAGGACTAGAGGGTGTGGGGATTAGAGGCACAGAGACCACTCCCGGCTGGCTAGTATCATCGACAGGCTCTCTCACCTCATGACTTAATTCTTCAAAGCTTATTTCTTCATAAAATTAGGATATTTGAGGGTGAGGGGAAAGTGTGTATACAGTACAGAGCAAGGGAGGCTGATGTGGAGGTCAGAGGAGAGCGTTCGCTGCCTCTTGGCTAGTTGTCTCTGCGGCCTGTGCGCTCCTGAGCCAGCCTCTCATCAGCTGCTTCATAGTCATCTTAGAGAGTGAGTCAGTCCGCTTGAGCCTCATGGCCACACAGGACTTGGAAGAGACTGTCCACTGCAGTGTCTGCTTTTAGAACTCTTGGGTTACTATAGCCATAGGACTCAGATTAAATGCTGAGTAAAATATCCTTTGATTCATTTCAGAACAAAAACTGTAGGATCATGGTTGATTGTTGATTTAGTGTGATTGTATTTTCCCTCATTGGCTTAGACTACCCTATTTAAACATGCCCGATCTTCATAAAACTTTAGGAGCTGTCTACCCCAGAAAATGTTAGTAAGTTTTGGGGTTGTTTCATTTCCTTGTAGCCAGATCAAGATTGACTTGGAAATTTTTGTAGTTCCTAAGTGGTTTTGGCTCTACATAGATGACTTAGTTATTTTGTGACAGAGGTAGACCTTGCACCTGTGTCTTCTTGGTGACAGTGTTAGGAGTATAGCAGAAGTTACATATTTCCACCCTGGAAGTTTTCTTCCACTGCATCAACAAGTGAATTAAAAAAAAGTTGTGCTGGAATGCTGTGGTAGACTGTCACTTAAAACAGCTCAGGATATTAATTTTACACGAGCCATGTTACCAGGGATGGTGAAGCCATGTTTCAGTACAGCATGAGTGCAGTGTTTATGCACTGTTTGCTCCCTGGGAGCTGCTGGGCTGTTCACTTTATTGGTTTTCAAGCAGTTTAATTTTTTAGTGTATATGGAGTAAGATAAGACAAAGTGAAATAAAAATCATAAAAGAAAAAAATTGATTTGGTATGGAGGACAGTTTTGAAATCTGTCACCTGGGCAGTTTATTCTTTTTTTTTTTTTTTTTTTTTTTTTTTTTTTTTTTTTTGGGCAGTTTATTCTTAAAATCCTTTCTTGGTTTGCCTTGAGTTTTTAAAAATGACATTTTCATTTTTCTTTTCTTTCCTTTTTTCTTTCTTTTTCTTTCTTTTTTTGTTTCAGTTTGGGATTGTAGATTTTACTACTCTCAGTGTTTATGTAAATTTGGATATATTATGTTATTACTGTTTTGTGCATGGGTGTGCACTTATGCAAGCGGTGTGGGCACCTGATTGAGTGTGGGCCCATGTTCATGCCAGAGCTGAACCTTATGTATCCTTCTTGTGGACCCACCTGCCTTGTGTTGGATGGAGTGAGTCTGGCCTGGCCTGGCCTTGCTGATGAGGCTACGGTGGCTAGCCTATGAGCCTCAGATACCCTCCTGTCCCTTCTCCCTAGTTTAAGCTTGGGTGTAGTTTACTTTTAAGTTGTCCTTTCTTTTGGGGTTTGTTTGGTTGAAGTCTTAATTGTAATCAAGAGGATAGTTCACTTGGTCTTTCTGACACCGTGACACTTTGTCTTTTAGTGTTCAGGGCTGCCTAAGTACAGCGTAACCTCTCAGGTACCTGCTTTGATCCAGCATCAGTTTCCTAGGATAAAGAAGCCCCAGGGTGCTGCACTCTCCTTTTTGGATTCCTAATCTCTTTTGGATGATGATGTTCCTTAGTCTTTTGTTAGTTCTTGGATATAGCCTTTAAAAGAGTTGTATTGTTTACATACAACAATGAGTACTAGCCTTAGATGTATATCCATAAGAGTTTTTATAATGTAATTACCTCAGTTCAGTCTATAGAGTATTTCTGGTGCCCCAGAGGTTTATTATAATTGTTTTCATTCAGTACTGTCTTCCTGCTTTGAATTTACCTAGGACTTAATTTTCTGTCACCACGGGTTAATTTTAGATTTTTAGTTTTTCAAAGAAACAATGTCATGCAACATACACTGTTTTGTGTTGGATTCTTTCTTTCAGCACTGTATTCTATAAGTGAATTTTACTTATTTGTATGTAGCCGTTTCTTTTTATTGTCCAGTATTTGTTTTAGTTGCTCTGGCTACCTGAACAATTGTCCATGATTGTTGCTTAAAACAGTGGCGATATTTGCCTTCCTCATAGCTCTGCAGTTTGGGCAGTACTCATGTCCGCTTCACTCAGTTTCAGGTTGGGCTGTTTGAAGGTCACGCCTGCTGTTGTATGAAGGATTGATTCTGTGTCAGATCAGGGATAGGACATTTCAACGAAGCTTTAACAGTGTGGCTTGAGTTATTCACATGAGCTGTGTGGCTGGATTCCAAGAATAGAGGTTGGGGGTGAGCCACGAAGAAGCTATATTGTCCTTGTCACTTGGACTTGGCACGCCTCTGTTATTAGTGCCCATTGTATATTGATTACTACTCGAGGCAGTTATAAGATGTTCACCTGTAAAGAAAGGGGAAATGGCTCTGGTCTTTGACTGAGAAAGACAAGATTCTTAAAAGTCCTGCAGGTCATCCTGTAGTAACTAGCATTAGAAAATAGAGATTGCCACAATGGTGGCCTAGTCTGTTCTACTTCTAATAAGCATTTGGATTGTTCTCAGTTACTGGCTGCTATGATACAGCTACTGTGACATTCTCACTTGTGTATTTTGTTGGCTATATAAACCCCTTCCTTTTGGCTACCCTAGAAGTGGAATCATTCACCAATAGGGAGAGATTCAGTTAGCTTTAGTAGTCACTTAGCAAACATTTATTCAAAGTGTTGATGCCACTTTATCTCCTTGGTATTTTTAACGTCTTAGAACTACTTGTGTATATTGCTTGGCCAGCCATTGTCTTATAGGAGACAGGTGGTTTGGATCTACCGTTGTGGAAATGCAGGTCCGTTTGCTCACATATGTATAGTGTGCGTGCGTGTGTGTGTCACACGAAGGTCCAAGGCCAGTATCACTCTGCCTTATTCACTGACACTGTGTCTCAGCTGAACTAGTTTGCTATTTCTGCTGGTTTCCAGCCAGCCATTGTGCTCCAGTGATCCCATGTCACGCTCACCTGGCATTTACATGGGTTCTGATGACCCTAACTTCAGACAAGCACAGTTTCCTAACCCCCTGAGCCATCTCCCCAGCCTGTGAAGCTTTCGTACATTATACTCAGCTTAGTTATTGGAAAGTAGAGATTATGTAGATGGGGCGACTGTGAAGTACTAGGGCAGTTTTCAAAGCAGTATTGTATGGTATGCATTTAAAGATTATTGCATTCATTACTGAAGAGAGCTTTTTGGATTTTTATTTATTTTTATTATTTATTTTAGGAATTTCTTTTTAAAGGTGTTAATGATGTATATGATAATAAGCATATTTGGTTAATTGTCAGCACTTTTTAGCATCAATTTGAATTCTAAGATCATTTTCCAGACTTGTTTGGGGTTTATTTTCCTGACTAGTAACAAAAACCCTCTCTCCAAGGGTAATATTTAGCCATCATTGAGGATTGCCAGAAGAACATTACCTAGACTCTCAGACTTAGTGTTGTGTTTGCTGACTCTCTATGTATTGCTATCAACAGCCGCTTTGATGGTTTCCCCTCAGGTCAACCAGATCTTCCCCATCCCCCTTTAATGCAGCATTTTAGACTGGTTTGTTTTAGCTCATATCTTATTTACTGTGATAGTTGATTTCTTGATTCTGCGTATGCTAAGGAAATTAGAATCTTTCTCAGCTTCTCATTTAATTCAGATTAGTTTTAAAGTCATAAATAATACAAGTTACAAATAGAACTCCAATATTGTATTTCAACTTCTTTATTTTATGAGACTAAAAATGTATCAGGACTATTAATGCACACATCAACTTTATATTTAGTTTACCAGGGCACCTTTCACACAGGATCCCGTGATATTCCTGGGTGCCAGTCAGCCTGGAAAATTTAACTCTGACTCTTGAACACACAGGCCCAGGGAGGCCAAGTGGACCTTGTTGATGCGGAGGTCTCCTTGTGAAGCCTTACATGAAGCCGATCACTGTCATGCTGGCTTCCAGATTTATACATACTACCCTTCAGATCTCTGTACTTGAATCCTTGGGCTCGTGAGTGTACTGACTCTCAATACAGTGCCTGGACCCACAGAAGCCTTGACCACCACTTCTGCCAGTTGGCTTCTGTTGGCACGCTTGTTCTGACTTTTCTTCTGTTAGCTTCAGGATGGCTGAGATCAAGTTTGTCTTGTGTCCTGAGCAACTCAGGCAGTTTTTATATATTGTAGAGTTGAATTAATATTTATTGAAAGAGCAGATGAGTATATTTTGGTGTTTAGATTTTAATGGATCAAACATTCCTTGAATTATGTCTACTTTTAAATCTTTCCATCATGGTGTTTGCTTTAGTGTTCATTGTAGATAGCAACCCTAATTTTAACAGTATCATCAGGCTTCTTAAAAGAAAAGATACTGTGTTCTCCACGTATCTGTGGAGCTTAACCACTATGCATGGTTCTGATAGGATAGAAACATCAGTGCATATGGCAGTATAATGTTATAAGCCACCCTTGAAAGGCCTTGCCTCTCTGTACCTGATAGAAGAGGAAGATTTGGAAATGACACTTGCTGTTTCAAATGCCTGTTGACCAGTATAAACAAAGCCACTAGAGTGTGATAAGCCAGCCTGGAAACCTAACTTGCGTTCTATCTGAGGAAAGGAAATTGAGCTTACCCTTGTCTCATACATCATTAACATACACGTGTAAACTGCTGAACCCAGCCGTTCTACTCAGTCCATCTCACTCTCTGAGCTCATTAGCAGGAAATATTTTGTTGACTTAGTGAGCAAAATAAACCTCTTTTCGGAGTCAGTGACAGATGCACTGTGCTTTCCTCGTGCTGGGAAAAGATTCCAGGCTGTGGGAATTTAGTGCTGTGTTTTATGTGTCTACGTTGTTCTAGAGTATTGTTTATAGGAAGTCCAAGAATGGTGTAACCACAAGGGTGAGATATGTCTCAGTGAATAAAGTCTGTAGTATTAACTGGAGTCATTTCTTCATCTAGACATTACCTGGGAATCTGCCCTGGCATACGTAGTAGGACTAACGAGCTGTGACTGAATTAAGAAAGGAAGGCACCAGAATTACTATCATGTAAACGTTGCAAAGGGGTAGTATTCTGTTCATAGCTTTGTTGGGTATGCCTAGGCTACTGTCTGGCTCCCCTGGGAGTTTCTCAGAAACGGCTTATTGCATGACCAATAAGTTATGTGTTGTATGTTTTTTAAATTTAAAAAATTGTATTTTTTAAAAAATTTTTTTGAGACAGTATCCTATTATGAAGCCTTGGCTGGCCTGGAACTTGCTCTGTAGAACGGGGCTCTGGCCTCAAATTCATAGTTCTTCCTGCCTCTGCCTTTTGAGTGCTGGGTTAAAGGCATATGCCACCACACCAGCTTATATTGTCTGTTTTAAATTAAAAAACTGAAGTCACAAGTCTTGGATTGTAAGCCTTTGAGGAAATGAGTGTGAGTCAGATAAAGCTTACCTTCTGACGTGCTTTCTTGGTGATCCTGTGATGAGGGTGTGTAAAGGCCATTCAGTGTTCGTTCATTTCCTTAAATTTGGGCAGTCTTCATGGACACGAGAGACTATTAACATTGAACAATCTAGTCAGTTGTTTATTATTGGACACTTGAGTTTAAGTTTCTGTGATGTTATAATTAATGCTGTGGTGAAGGACATTTTCTTAAGCATTTTATGGGCAAGGAGAGGGCACTGACTTTTCAACAGTAGGAATTTAGGGAAGTGAGCTGCTGGAGAAGGGTTATGCAGGATTAGACAGCTGTGCAGGTGAGATGGGGGCCTCTGTGGTTGGACGGCATGGCTGATGCAGGTCTTTGGGTGGCCAGATGTACATGGACAGTGTCTGATCAGCTCTTCCTCCATAAACAGGACACCCGAGAACACACCACCTCACGGTTTGCAGTCAAGCTGTACCGAACACATTTGTCTCCTACTACTAAGGAGTGAGTGAGTCACCGCAGCTGCTTCTGTCCCTTGATTACTGTTGAGAGATTATAACTGCATTTAATGCCTTTATACGTGTACCTACGTATATTTATGTAACTTGTATTTACATTTTTTGTACTTTTGGGAAATTCTTTTAAAATAAAAGAATCCTGTAAAATAGAAGATTTGTCCAAACGTTCTGTATTACATAAAGACTAACAGTGACATCCATTCAGTTGCCTCCCTCAGCTTAGGTGACAGAATATTAATTACCAGTCTCCTCCTGCACGACTGTCCTATCCCCATCCCCCTGCTGGCCTGAGGAACCACAGCTTATATTCCTGCATTCATCCTTATAGGACATTAGCTGTGTGACTATCTCTAACTAATGCATTGTTAACTTTGTGTATTCTGTAAGTGATGCAAGTGAGTTCATGTGTCCTGATATCATTGTGTTGTTGTACCATAGCACACTTGAGTGAATTATATCAGTAATTCCGAGTTTTTTTTTTTTGATACGTGTACTTTTGGTTCATCTTATGGCTTCATAATGCTTAGTAATAAACAGATGATGTAGTGAATCCTTCTGTAGAGTTTTGGATTTTGTTTCTTTTGCTGTGACAAACAGCATGTTACAAGTTTCCCATCCCTCTCTCTTGCTTATAGTCAGACAAGATTGGTAGGAAGTTGTCTCTTCCTTTTTCTGGTATGATGCTGGGACTTGAGCTCAGGGCCTTATGTCTGCCAGGCAAATGCTCTGAGACTGGATTCTACCCTCAGCTTCACAATGGTTTCTGGCTACATCCCAGCACAAGCATGGCATAGATTCTATAGCCACATCTCTTTCTTTCAGTCCGTATTTGCCAAGTCTATATTTTTGATGCCTTGAGTTCCAGCCTCTATGTGTTTTGCTTGTTTAGATTTGTTTCCTATGATTAGTATGTGCCTTGTTTTTTGAATCCAGTCTTTTTAACTCAAAACTTTAGTTCATTCTTTGGTTTTGTTTTTTCAAGGCAGTGTTTCCTCTGTGTAGTCCTGGCTGTCCTGGAACTCCCTCTGTAGACCAGGCTGGCCTTGAACTCAGAGATCAGCCTGCCTCTGCCTCTTAAATGCTGGGATTAAAAGTGTGTGCCACAACAGCCTGGTTTAGTTAATTTGTTTTTAAAGTTAGTCTCTTAAGATTTGTTTTATTTTTGTTTATGTGTGTGCATGTGGATCTGTGTATGTGCATTTGTGTGGACATATGAATGCTAGGGCCCCCAGAGGCCAGTGGTGTCGGATTCCCGTGGAGCTGAAGTTACAGGAGGTGGTGAAACACTTGATGTGGGTTCTGGGAATCAAACTTCAGTCCTCTTCAAAAGCAGTGCTTGCTCTTAATTGCTGAGCTACCCCCCCAACCCCCCAAATAGTCAGTGTCTGTATCTCTGGCTTAATCACCTTTGGCTGTAATAATGCAATTACCACAAAGTTTCAAAGGCTGACAGCAGACATTTCTAGCTCATAGATCTGCAACTTTGGCTGCGTTTGACTGTGTTTGAAGTTGGCTGGGTTTGCTCCAGCTGTGGGCTATCTTCACTTTCGTGTCATTTTGGGGCCAGCAGGCTCCTTGGGTGTACATTTCTAATGCTGCTATGCAGCTCAAGAGAATGTAGGCAAACTTGGTGCTCTTACAGCTTCCAATTGGGTGTGGTCAGTTCTGCCTCATTCCAGGAAGACATATTGCCACCCCCACCCCAAAGCCAGTATGTGAAAAGTAAGATAATTGCTGGATTTGCACAAATACTACAAAATACCTAGTATGTAAAGTTTTGTTCTTAAGAGACATTGCTCTTCTCTAGGGAAGGGTAACTAGGTGAGGAGAAAGAGAGCCTAAATATTTTATCTTGTGTGCTAGTGCTATCAAGCCCCTTGGTTGCTGAAAAAAATCGATAGTCTACCTACTTTGAAAGTAGATGGGGGTGGGGCCCGGGTAGCAGATCTCTGTTTTGAAGCTGTGATGAGCATGAAGGACCGTGACCAGGTGACCCTCACTGTGTCATTCATGAGCACATTTCTAAGGATTGCTCCATGGGATGGCTACTGGGAGCTTGACTCTGTTCCAGTGAGTGCATGTGCAACACAAAATGGACTTGGTCTTTCTCCTTTTCCCTCCTTTTTTTTCTGGGAGGAGGTCACAAAGATGGGAGGTGGACCTGGGGGGACTGGAAGTAAGTATGATCAGGGTGATTATGTGAAATTCCCAAATAATCAATACAAATAGTATGTTGGGGGAAAAAAGGGTTGTTCAGGGGGTCCATACATTAAATTCTAACACATGCTTTGCGTGTTTGTAAACAGAAAGATTTGCTACCCCATATGGAAAGTCTGTACGTCCAGTGTTTGTAAGTTTTATTATCCTAACTTAAAAAACACTGTTATTGCTAACTATGTGTAGGTGCACATGTTTGCATGTGGGTTTGTGTTAACCTGAGTGCAGGTGGCTGAGCAGGTCAGACAGAGGCATCATGTATCCCTTGGAGCTGGACTTCTGGGTAGCTGTGACCCACCTGATGTGGGTCATGGTAACTGACTTGTTCCTCTGGAAGAACAGCAATTTCTCTGAACTGCTGAGCCATCCTTCCAGCCCCTGTCCTAATGTTTTTGAAGATAGTATTTTAAGTGCTGAGAAAATTCTTTATGTCTTAAATACCAGAATAAGGATTTATTTGGCTTCTTATGGTATGGTAGGAAGGAGACCTTACATCTTATAAGGCACTTTGATATTACTGTTTAGAAAATTTAACATTAAAAATGTATATAAACATAAACCCCTTGGCAGAGTAGCTTCTCCAAGTATGAATGCACATGGACAATTGGGGCATCTGTGAATGTTTTATCTGCTTTGTGTTTTTGTGACATTCCTGCCTTTTCCTGTTGTCATTCATCATGTTCCACCTCTTAGTTTCCAAGGAGGGAAATCAAATTCAGTAAACTTAATCTAATACCATCAAGGAGTGTCTTTATTGTGAGAAACTTTGAGTGTGTATCTGAAGCTAATGTGGGATTATATGCGATTGTAGATTTGCCACACTACTCATTTCCGTGAGGTAATTGGGTTATCTGGAAAGGGTAATCACTGGCTAATGCCCAGATGAAGAAGAAAACCTGTGGGCTGGGGTCAGGTGACAGCGTGGCAGAGCTGTGATTATGTACCACTGCTAACTACAGTGTAGGCCCATGTGGTCATGCACATGCTGATGCAATCTCTGCATTGTGCAAATGTGTGCTTCTTAGATGGTCTAAGTACAATGTGTGGACACAGCAAGCTGAATCTTCAAAACTCATAGCCCTCATAGCAAGCGAGGGACTTACTGCTTTCTGTTTTCTTGTGTGATTTATAAAACAAAGTGTTACTTTCCATGATTGTGGGGCATAGCTTACTGCTTTATGAAGAAAGTATGCATCTGTACATTTACATTGAATCACAGTGCTGAGATGTTATGTGTTAGAGCTAGGAAGGCCCTCATGCATCGTGTTACTGTCTAACCACTGGTACTTCTGCCTCATCTAAAGTGTGCTAATCAAAGAGGAAGCTCTAGAATGCAGCCTTAGTCACAGGTCAAGTGTGTTTTAGTATTGATACTCATATTAATACAAAGCAAAGCTTATGTTACACTTGAGTGAAAAGAACTACATCTAAAGGTTGCAACTTATTTACCAGATATATCTTTAAAATACTTAGAATGCCTTGAAAGGACGTGTACTACACGTAACTGGATAAATATGAAAATAATATGCTTATAACGAGGAAATGGCATCATTACAGAAAGTTTATAGCAGTAACTTTTGTGGTCATTTTTATTTTGAATGTAATCAAAATAGATTTAGCAGGCATAGTTTGCTTTATTTGTCCTAGGCAAAGCATTCTTCTTGACTTATTAGTTGGGAATGGGGAAGGACTAAGTTTAGTACTAAAGATTCAAGTTTAAAAGCTTTTATATGACGGTTGCCTTCTACACACTAAGCTCCTGTAAGGCAGTTGCTGTCTGCACACTAAACATCTGTATGGCAGTTGTGTCTACATACTAAGCTCCTGTATGGCAATTGTCTTTTAAATACTTTTTAATTCTTGAAGTTACTTGTTTTCAGAAAGAGGGAACTGCGAATCAGATGGTGATTAGTAGTAATCTTTTATATTTAAAAGATTACTTTTAAGTAGGGGTTCTAGAGATAGTAGAAAAAACTGAATTAAAGTTATTTTCATTTCCTTTTAGGAAACTTTAAATATTGACCTTTAGAAAATCTGATTTCTTTCTTTGTTTCCAGAACAGGATATGTATTCCTCTGAGAAACCCTGGACAGCAGATTTTGGTTTAATACTGGATTGGAACAATACACAGAGACATTTGCAGTCATGAGTAAGTATTCTGCTTGGTTTAATTTCTGCTGCCTTGTTAATAAGTGTTTACTTATTAACAAAAGAAGAAACATGTTATTTTTTATCACATCCTGAAAGAATAATTGGGTTTTCCCTAGTGCTGTGCATGTGTCTCTTAAGGCAAAGAGAGACACATTTTGCGTGTGGTTTATCCTAAAGAGTTAGGTGTGATGAGGGAGCCTGGTGCTAGCTTATTAGCTGACTACTTCTATCATTTAAGGGCATCTGTTGGCTTTCTGTTTTCTACTGGGAAAAAATCTTAAAAGTTTGAAAGGGAATATTGTAGCTGACCATAATTAGGAGAAGTTTTATTGTATACAATTTCATCATTGGGCAACATGGATTATTATATTTATGTAAAACCACAGCAATCTCTCAGTGCTTTTAATAGAGCAAGAAGGCAAGGCGATCTTGGACTTAGCAGGTGTGATAACAAACTTCTCTTTCTGCCCATGAGAACTGGATTTTATTGTGGTAAGTGCTTTTAGAGTATGAAGAAAGACTTGGCGTTTACTCTACATGGGGTCCTAAATGGCTGTTGGAAATACAGACTTTTTGATTATGGAAACTCTGGGACAGTGTGAACATTTCCTCTTAGACTGTTAGCTTATACTATTTTGTATATTATTTATATTGGTTATATTTACCTTAATATGAATTAAGGTAGCTTTTCTCATGGTTCTTAGTGAAATGTTTGAGACCTTCTACTAAAGATAATTTCAGAAAGTTACCATTGATTTTTAAAGTATCTACTGTGTCTTTTTTTTTTTTTTTTTTGGCTGAGATACTTTGAGTAAACAAGATCAATTGCTAGAGGCATTCAGATCCAGATTTGGAGGAAGCTGTGTGCCGTTTCAGTTCCATTCATGAACTTTGTACAAGGTTATTTCATAGAAACCTCAACTTCAGTGGACTTTCACTGTTAGGAAGAAGCCACACTGCATGTCTCACATCTGAGGTTACTGTAAAAGTCAGCCTTTGTCTTCATCATTCCTGTTCCCCTGCCCTCGGCGGGCAAGCCTGCTGCGCCTGTCATGTGTTCAGTACTGTCAGGTCATGTGCTCCTTGAGGGCAAACACAATTTTTTGGCATTTAGGCATTAAATAAATGTTGAGATATGCGTGTCTTGGTCTGTGGTAGATCTTCTGTGTATTATTATGTTTTAGATGAAATTTGAGGTGTTGTTCTGTGAAGTCTGTAGAGGGTGGAGTGGAGATTGGTGGTAGATGGAGCAGTGTGAGAAAGGAGGTAGACTCCACACAGCAGAGGCTGAGGAGCAGAGAGCTGGGAGGGGCATGGTGAAAGAACTCGGGAGCAGAGGAGCCCCTGGGCCTTCACGGCACGGCTTATGGTGTTAAAGATTTCAGTTATGGACGTGACTTATGATTTCATTGTGGAGAAATTACTCAGAAAACCACATGCTTTTACTGTAAATTTAAAAAGTTGGTTACTCGGACAGTATTTGCTTTTGCTAACATCATGTGCTTAGATCTTGGTTCTTTAAAAGTTGTTTTTTTTTTTTTTTGAATCAGACTGGGCTACATTTTCTTTTCTTGACAGTTTGATGATATTACATAGAAAAAGAAGTCATCCTTGAACAGACTCCCATAATACAGGTAGCCCAAGGAGTGTTACAGCAGGTTTCTAGGGAGTCCTTAACAAAGGAAGTGGGAAACTTCACACACACACACACACACACACACACACACACACACACACACACAGAGAGAGAGAGAGAGAGAGAGAGATTTAGTTGAGGTTAAAAGGTACTGCATTAAAAATACTACAATTAAAAGGTATCAAGATGTTGATAGAGTTTCTAGGTAGACTTGGTGAGAACCATGGTTACTGATTATTACTGGTTGTTTTCTTTAGCATGTATGTAGGTATCAGAGGAAAGATTGGATAGTTAGATATGTGAATAGATTTACCTCCTATCAGGGTTCCCAGCTCTTTCCATGTCAGGAAACACATAGAAGAACATAGTAATTTTTGCACAGCACATGGAATAAATAGCTGTAGATTGGAGACACCCACCTTAACACTGCTGGCCTGGCGGGCTATCATGTGTTGTCAGGAAGGGGTGGTTCTCCCCACCTGTCCTGGCTGGCCTCAGACAGTAGTTGGGATGCACCAACTATCAGGACTTGAAACACATACTGTGTTACTCAGCTTTCATTCTTGCTGGCATGTATTTTAGGAAATTCTGAGCTGAATACTTGTGATGAAATTATGACAGTTGTGAATTTTGTTGTGGATTGTCAACTTGATTACAGCTAACAAAAAGGCTCTGATTTTAGCACTTAAACGGTTATTCTTTTTTTGTATTTGCATAGTTGTAGTTATTCAGTTTGTTTATTTTATCATATTAAAAAAAAAGATGAAATAAGAAAGCGGGTGTCTTGGGTTGTTAATAGATATTATAGCAAGGAAAGTTTTCCCGTACATGCCAGTAACAGTATTTACCGATTATTTTGATGCGTATGTTTAAAACAAAACAGCACAAAATAAAAGCAATTAAGTTATACTTAATTTTCCTTTTCAAAGCTTCATGTTGAAACCCTGTTTTCTCTATTTTTAAATTTTAGTTTCTACTGTATCTTACTTTCATCAAGAAAGTTTTACTTTGAAATTAATGCTGTTTTATAAGTTATTTGGATGTCAGTTCTATTCTCTTGACTAGGTCAATCAGGAGTACGTGTTGTATGTTGGTGGGTTTGATCCTGCCCTTTGGCCTAGGAGACTGGATGAGGTTTGTTTTTTTCTCTCCTCTCCTCTCCTGTCCTCTCGTGTCCTCTTGTGTCCTCTCCTGTCCTCTTCTCTTTTTTTCTTTCCTTTTCTTTTCTTTTCTAAGTTGGTTACTTTTGCATAGGAAATATCTCTCATTTAGCCAAGGAAAGAAATGGGGCTGAGATTTGGTATAGGGTTTGATGGTTTTCTGGTGGAGTGGGAACAGTCAGCTTTGATGTGTGTTCTAGCAGATTATGTTATAAATCCAGTAGATGGTTGAGTTCCCTCAGTGACAGCTTAGGGGTTCTGCTAGTCTCGGTCATGGAAGAATTGGTTGTAATGCATGCTCCCATAAACACTGGCTAACAGTTCTGTCTAGAACATTAGTCTACCTAGAAGTAGGAAAGCTGCATACTTCAGAAGTAGGCTGAAAGTTAAAAGAGAATCTCAGTTGACTTGTACTTTAAATGCTGATGTATCTGTCCTATCACTGAGCCCACATCTTCATGCTGCCACAGTGATTCTTAGTGTGAGAGTTGAGTTTGTTGTAGCAGTGTGGGGACTCTGTAGATGGCAGTTAACAAGGAGCTCTCCTGGGAATTTGTGGGCAGGGGAGAGTGTGCATCAGCCCCTGTTGAGAACCCTGTCTCCTGTCCAAACTGACAGCAGGAAACCAAGGTGGGGGCTCTGAGGAGTGACAGCCATTGCTGCTTCTTAGGGAGAGCATGGCTAGCTTCTTAGTTACCTGACTTCATCGTTAGATCCTGACTGCTCAATGTGGGATGTTTGGTTTTTAGCTCATTGTCTTCTTGTTAGAGGCAAGTGAGTAACTCTTAATATGATACTGTCGTGGACTAAATAGAGCCAAATGCAGTTTTATACAGTATATGCAGCTATGATCTTTTACTTTTTTAAATTTTAGGAGGTAGCTAGCTTAAGTTTTTGTTTCTACTTTTGATACTTTTACCAAACTTTAAAAAAAATTGTAAAAATAGTACCCCAAATTCCCATAGACTTCTGACTGAGATTTGCCAGCTGTTTATATTCCTTCTTCCCTCTGTCTGCCCCTCTCCTGTCCTCTTTTCTTCTCCCCTTATATACTTCTATATGAAAGACATTTATATATAATTAAAACATTTTGGTGGAACTCTGGTTTCCTTTGATTGAAAGTCACTTAGAGTTTTAGCATAAACCAATTATTAAAGTAGCAGTAGCTTTCCCAGCTTCTAAAATTACGTTTATTGGTTAAAATTGCAAACCATTTACACGTTATTTCTTCAAAGATAAATTATTTACCAGTTTTTGTAGACCTGCCATTAAGAAAAACAGGTTAGATATACACTGTATTGCAAAATATTTACAAATTTGATATATGAATCAACTTTAGTACATTTTTTTTGTAGTAACAGATTAGTGACTTCTTTCAAGACACTTAATTCCTTTCTATTGTTTCTTTACTGAGATTTTCATAATGCATATCATGTGTTTTGGTCAGACCGCTCTCCTCCCTTTCCCAGCTCTGCCCACCACGTCTCTCCTTCAGAGCCCACTCACTGCTGCCTGTGTGTGCACGGGTAGAGGACCATCTGCTGGGCCCCTCTTCTGTCCATGTTGGGAATTTGGCTGGCCTGATCTTGTGCTGGTCTTGTGCATGCAGTTGCAGCAGCCGTGAGTTCGTGTGTGCAGTGGTCCTTTGGAAGACAATTCATTCTTAAGAAGCTTACGTTCTGTTGAGAATACAGTTTCACAGTAGCAGTCCTCCTCAAGTTCCCAGAGCTCCAGAGGCTCAGGATGGAACACTTGCTACTGACTAGCCTTGTTGGGTAGAGGATGTGGCTTGCTGTCTTTAATTGCTGGCCCACTGCCACCTGCTTACCCAGCGGCCTCCACCTGTATTTATTTAGAAATGTGTGGCATGGACTGGATCATTTGGAAGCCTCGCAGCTTGGATGGTTATGATTACGCTGGTGAGATTTTTATTCAGTTATGTCTTATAAGAAGTGTGCCTGGATATACCTTGCTGTACTATGTAAGGAAACGTACACACATTGGTCTTGGGGACCTGTGTGTGTGGCTCTACACTTGTGGCCGAGACACTTTCAGAAGTCCCATTGTTTGGGATGCAGCTGCATGTTCTCTGGTCCTTTTTATTGGTGCTCTTGGCAGTCAGATTTCAGAGGCATGAATATTTCAAATTAATACTCTTATTTTATCTTTTATGATTTCATAAAAGTTTGATTTTTGTGTTTT